AAATATCTGCACTTTGTGTTGCTACTTTTCTGTGAGTAATAAGTTGGCCACCTGGCCTAAAACATTTGATGGCATATATAATGACAACCTCAGCTGGAGCAACAACACTACCAGCCTTATCAAGAAAGCTCCTCAGAGACTCTACTTCCTCAGGCGGCTGAGACGAGCTGGTCTGAGAAGCTCAGTCCTCACCTCCTTCTACAGGTGTGCAGTGGAGAGCATCCTGTGCTCCAGCATCAACGTGTGGCATGGAGGCTGCACAGCTGCAGAAAGAAAAGCTTTGCAGAGAGTGGTGAAGGCTGCACAGAAGACTGTTGGAGTCAGCCTCCCCACCATCACAGACATCTACACCTCCAGATGCAGGAAGAGGACCACCTGCATCATGAAGGACCCCACTCATCCAGCGCACACACACGTTTTGCCACACCCCCCTCAGGCAGGAGGTTGAGGAGCATTAAGTGTAGAACCAATAGACTGAGGAACAGCTTCTACCCTGAGGCTGTTAGACTCATGAATCTCTAACCAGAATAATCACTGTGAAAAATCACATTGTGTTGCTGCTGATCTGTTTCATGTTGCTGCTGATCTGTTTCATGTTGCTGTGTTCATTCGTGCTCATCTGCTCACACAGACTCATGTTTGTGCTGCTGTTCGGCATATTGTGTTTATTGTTTTTATACTACTAGTGCTTAGTGTATTTTTAGTTTAACGTTTTTCTTAGTTCACATCTTAGATGTTATCATTGTTTTTCTTTTACATTTTATACTTTTGTTGGATGTAACTGGGACCTTGTGTACACAATTTCATTCCACCACATGCACCACATGTGGTGTGTATGACAAATAAAGAACCTTGAATCAATGAATATATTGCTATGCTGTACAGGTTAAATCATGTTACAGTTTAGACATCACTGCAATTAGATGCAGCTAGTAGAACCTATATTTGCACAATTTACATGTTAAAAAAGTTTGTTGCAAATTCATTAACTAGTTGAAGTCATAATTATTCAACTAACTAAAAAGTCTTGAAATCATTGGACATCTGTTATTAATCATTGACTGACTTCAGTTCTAGTTTACACCATCATTAGTTAAACCCACTATATTTTCCTTCTGTAACATCTAGCTGTTTTACATGATTGTTGTATGACATAATTATTAATTATAAATTATATGAAGAGATTGTAAAAACAGCAGCACGGTGGCACAACTGGTAGAGCTGCTGCCTCTCAGCAAGCAGGTTACCCTGGTTCAAATCCCGTCCGGGGGCCTTTCTGGGTAAAGTGCATGTTCTCTCAGTGCATGTGTGGGTTTTCTCCAGGTACTCCTGTTTCCTCCCACAGATCAAAAACATGCATGTTAGACTGATTGGTAACTCTAAATTGTCTCTAGGTGTGAGTGAGAGAGTGGATGGTTGTTTGTCTCGTTTGTCTCAAAGTGTCTCTGTGATGGACTGGAGACCTGTCCAGGGTGTCCCCCGCCCATTGCACAATGATTGCTGGACATGGGCACCGGCAACCCCCGTGACCCAAAATGGAAAAAGCGGGTAAAGATAATAGATGGATGGACTGTAAAAACATTAAAAAATAATCTGACACAGATCCAGTTGGGTTTGCTGTTAATTAAATAGTTGTTTTGTAGGTTTTGGGCCTGTTTTGGACACGTCTAAACTTCTCCACAATCTTACAAATGTAAACAATGGGCGGGCTGGGCCGTGCACACTCTAGTGGTATTATATAACTCTATGGTTTGTCTTCATTAAAGCAATAAACATTTGTCTTCTTCCTATTGATACATTCCCATTTATTAACTATCTGAAACTAAAACCTATTTCAATGTTTATATACACATATACTTCTGTACTCACGGTGTAGACAGCCTATCTCATCATTTTTTCGAGACCAACCACTGCAGCATTTATAGACTGTGTGGGACTCCATATTGTACACTTGTCTGTATACAGTATAGTATGACGTCCTGTGTAAGAAAAATAATACTGTTAACTTTTAGGGCACTACATTTAGACTATATTAGTGCAGTAATATTTTTTATGTATCATTAAAAGCATCAGTTTTACTAGAAACAGCAATTACAGCATCTCAGATAGCTACAAATTATCTCTATAGATCATTATGGGAGGACTTCTGTGCTTTTTTTATTTTTTATATAGAAGTAGTTATAAGTACTTTGTAGCACTTTTTCACAGTTTCACTTTCATGCTAAGGTAAGCTATGTTGCTGTAGGATTTCTTGCTTCAAAAACAAAGTAAACAGGAAAAAAAAATGTGACAGTGAACTGCCCTTGATACTAATGTATGTACATAAAACACTTGTGTCTGTAACTACGCAGTCAAAATGTTCTTATCTCGTCTTAAACTGAAAGAGTGCTGTATCAAAAGCAGCTTGTTTTTACCTCCTCTCAAAGCCCGTACACCATCTGTGGCTCGAGCAGCCTTGCTTCCACACCTTCACCATGCGGGTGAAAGCCTGAACGCAAGGCTGGCGGACCCCAAACATCGACATCTCCTGGTCAGCACAAACATTTGGCCTGCGGATGGGAAACAGTGGGAAGACATCTGGAATCTGTCCATGAGCATCGAGTTCATAAAATGTGACATTTATGACGACTTTTAAGCAGAAGACTCGGCCACTCATTTTTAAATGACTTCATACAGGGCCTGGTGAATGAGCTGACAAGAAGGCTCTGATGGTGCTCTCATACGTCACCTTAAAATTGCTATGAATGAACAGCAAAGAACATTCACAACTACTCTAGCTAAAGTGCTCATGTGCATCTGAACATCGGCTTATGTATATATTTATTAAATAAATAGCATCCTGACTGCTGGGACATTCAATTCAGTTCAATTCAATTCAAAAATATTTAATTAATCCCAAAGGGAAATTAAGTGTTGTTGTAGCTCATCATCCTGGTTTCATTCAAGAGTTGCCACAGATGCTGATCGCTGTGGGCAGGAAGGATCTCCTGCAGAAAATTCGAAGACTCTGGCCACAGATACAGATCCGTCCACCCAGATCCAGCTTGCTGTTGGATCCGATGGGCCTCTCTCTGTCCTCCTGGGCAGCAGGACTGACCGAATGCCGGGCAGAATTCCTCCCTGATCGATGGTCCCTGCTCCCAGCAGTCTGCCGAGCTCCTCGTCGCCACAGACAGACAGCTGAAGGTGCCGGGGGATGATCCCTATCTTCCCGTTGTCACGAGCCGAGTTTCTCACCAGCTCCAGGATCTTGGCAGATACTCGAGCACCGTCGCCAGGTTGACGGGAATTAGTCCATGGCACCTCCTTTTCAACTCATTTGGGATTTGGGGCTGTAGTTGAGGTAGTTGTAGTTGAGCTTATGAGATGTTAATCAGCTGCTCCTGGTTGTCAAAAAAACACCTTCTTGCCATGGTTACGCATCAAAACAAATGCCCAAAAGTAAAACTGTTTCAGTAAAAATCCTTCCAGCTGCACAGCATCTGATACTAGAGTAAATAATCATCTGAAAAAAGCGATTTACATTTAAAGTTTTCAAAAGCAATAACTCAGAATGAAAGTAACAGAGCTGCTCCAACGTGCAGCCACACCGAGGGGCGCAATTCTAGAACTTCAATGATTATAAAACAATCCATGCGACACAAAAGATAATCTGATCCCATGCAAATACTCTTAAAGAGCTGAACACCACTGCAGTAACATGTCCCCTTCCAGCAGCCATCTGGCTTCAATACAGCTCGGAGTTAATTAGAGGAAGTTTTCTTCTTCTCTGGTAATAAAAACAATCCGTCCCCTAATGTTCTGCTATATCTATTTAAATTCTGAAACCTTTAAAAGAGTGATGTCCATAAAATATAATTAAAAAAAGTTAAAACCTGATTCTATTCAGTTATAAAAGCACACCAAAGTGGGTCCTGAAAGAGTGACTCCTAGTGTACACTAAATAAACTAACACGAAGAGAACTATAATATAAACAGACAAATTGTTCTGTTTAAGGGCTGCAACTTTATTTATCATCAAAATGCAAACTGGTTTGGTGTCTACAGTATTTTAAAGGATATGAGTGCAGAGCTTATTTTGAACCTTATGATTCAACTGAAAGTTAAGAACAATAAGAGAAAAACAGTTTTACTTACATGCCAAACTGCAGCTCTAGAGATGACACGATGTGAACAGTGCTGAATATCTTCACCAATAAAATGAACATATTTGGAATCATAATTCCTCGCAACACAATCACAAACAAAAACAACCAAACAACAACAAAATATTCCCTCAGCAGTCCTCTTTAAATCAAGAGCATCCTCCTGACATGGCTCTGAGGTTTGTCTGTTGGGTCGACTGGTTGAAGCTGGAGGGGCCGAGCCGCTCCAGCGCCACCCACAGGGCCTGGGGGGGCCACAGCCCCTCATCCATGTCACTGTCTGCAGGGGACAGGTGGCGACTTCAAACTGCGAAAAATAGACGATTCTTTTTTTCGTTGCAGTCTCACAGAATTTTGAGTTTGCGACCGCAGTTTTTGCAATTCAGTTTTGAGGTTGTCACACAAATTTATTTTGAAAATGTTCAAGATTTAAAGGACAATGCGAGAAATAGAGAACTCGTTGATACTTTTTATGGAGTTTATCATTTACAAACCAGTGTCGATTTGGCTAATGTCTCATTTACAATCATTTATTTCCATAAAAAAAAAAAATCCCACCTAAAAACAGTCAGAAATGTCTAATAAACAATTGTCAATGCAGATTTTTCTTACCGTGTGTGTTAATTCAAATTTCAATCATTTTTTATTTAAAAATAAATCCAAAAAAACGGGAGTATTCTTGGCATAAAAATATAGTTTTTAGTACAGTTGTCACTAAACTTTAGTGAGTATATTTTTTTTCTAAATGGCTGCAAAATAGAAATAAAATTAAACTTTTTACCTTCAATTTTCTTCCGGTTATGCTTTTAATTTGAGTGCCAATTTTCTTGAACGTAACTTCCGGTAAATGACGACACTTCCTGTATAAAGTACAGTCGGAAAGAAACAAGAGGAGGTTACTCTTGCATAGTGTATGACAATTAATTTTTCTCCGGATACTTCAATTTTACTTAGCGCTTCGCCGAACTTTGATGCCGTTCATATTATAATAAATATATATTTTAGAAGCCGCTGCGTGAATTTTTATCCAGGCGGTAAGAAACTGTGCTAACTACTAGCCTAAAGACGACAATGCTAAGTCGTTTGTCATTGTTGTTCATTTGTTAAACTGCTGCACATATCATGACTATCGTTGGCCGCTTGTTTCTGTTTGATAATATATATATGTTCAGTTTACTTAGATTTTTTCAGGTTAGCGTAGTGAGCACTCAGATTAATGCAGTTTCTGATGAGATCAATATTGTTGCTTCATGTGTGGTCAGTTCTAGAGCGTTTCATATGATGAACAACAAAATCCATGCTCAATAAACCCAGGGCGTTTCATATGATGGTGTCACGAGGATGCTGTTTCCATCTGAACTTTGTCATACTCCCCTTATCACAAACTCCCTGAAGAGGTTCTTGTTTTGTGGTTTTTATGATGCTTTAACTTAGGTGCCAGCAGTCTGAATCATGATCAATAAAGCTAAAATTAAAAGCATTTTTTTTAACAAATGACTCTTTTTATGTGGGACTTTTTGTAGCTAACATCCCGTTTTGCTTTCGTCATCCCATACAGCCAAATGAGCGGAGCAGCATTTCCCTCCCCAACAGTGGAGATGGCAGAGATGAACCGCATCCAGTATGAGCTGGAGTACACCGAGGGGATCAGCCAGAAGATGCGCATCCCACAGATGCTTAAAGTGGCTCCTCAACCCCACAATGAGCCCTGCGCTGTAGTGCAGGAGGCTCACCCCAGTGTTGTCATGCAAGTGCCTGAGAGAATTATTATTGCAGGTTAGTCTGCTGCAAAATAATTTTAATATAACGGTAACATTTTTCTGTTATTTGGTAATAAACATGCTTATATTTGTTATTTGTTCATTCTTCCCTTGCAGCCCTTTTAATGTCTTCTCAACTACTAAAATGTGAAAATGTATTTGTCCACTGTACAAGAAAGAAAACAATATCATTGACGTCATTCTGTGAGTTTCTACTGTGTTCTTATTGAACTATAACTCCTCCATTTGTCAGGAGATTCTGCTGAAACCCAGTTCTCCAGACCCAGAGACTTGGACCTTATCCAATCAACACCTCTTGCAACCTTGTCACTTAAAACGCCTCCAAGAGTCCTTACTCTCAACGAGCGGCCCCTAGACTTCTTGGAGGAGGAGCAGCGGGCAGCTCCAGACAGCGAGGAGGTAGTGAGCAGTAAATCAATAAATTGTTTTTCACAAAGACCCATGAAGTGCACCTGTTACTTTGAACAGGAAGTCACACCAGAGTAAACTGGTTGTTTTTTGTTTTTCAACAGATGCGACCACATGGGCGTTTGCGGCGGGAACGCTCGGCCAGTGAGAATGCAGCTGTCCGTCATAACCCAATAGTTCACAATGATTCTGCGTGAGTTTTTTTGTCCTCACAAGTCCTTATAATCAGAGTACCAGCTCTGTTGTCGCTCCCGTGTTGTTGACATGTTTTGGCACGCTGCGTTTTTCTTTCTGCTTCATGTCTTTGGTTCATTGTGCAGCTGATTGGCAGCGCTCAGCTGTGCTTGTTTCTGGTCTACATTTATCATCGGTGTATTTTTAAACATCCTATAACATTGAGGTTAAACTGCATGTGCTTTCCCAGGGTTGTTTTAACGGTTATAAAATTATGATTACGTTTGTTTTGTTTATTTTTGCTGTGCTTTTTAGCTGAAGGGCTGCTTGTGGGTGGCAGGTTTCCTCTTAAGCTTTTAGCTTATGTTTTGAAAGTCAGCAGAGATGAGGGCTTGTGTCCTTTCCTTATTCCTTTTCCTTTTTTCTTCTTTTCCTTCTGCCCCCCTCCCCCCCCCCCCCCCCCCTCTGAATTACTTTAATGATGGGCACTGAGCAGTGCAGCTTCACATCCCCCAGCCACTGTCCAGCCATGCCCCCCTCTCACCGTGGCTGAAGAGCAAATCTCAGGTGTTCTATCTTTCATCCAGTCCACAACACGTCGGGCCTACCGACAGGTCCTGGAGGTCTTGGATGAGAACCCACGCAGGTGACCAATCATCTGGTCTTTTATTGCACCCATTTTCTTACTAGCTATAAGTTTTATCAGCAAACCAAATACAAACCTCATGAAATATTTGTATTAGATTTGTGTACATTTCTGTTGTTCCTCACCAGATTACCTAATTTTAACACCTAGTAGTACCAATGACAAGTTTTAATTTACCTTTTTTTTATCCAAGATGAAAGCTGACCAACTTGTTTGGCTTGATCTTGAAACCAAACTTTCACTTTCACTTTTGAACAAGAGTTTACAGAGAAATCTGGTTTTGCCATTAGGATAGGGCAAAAACAGTGTGGCGCTGACGCAAGTGAAGTGCCCCATGGAGTGAATCAGTGCACGTTTCCTCCCTGGAGTTTCTTAACTCCCAGGAGTCTACTGAAAACCACAGCTACATTTGTGTGTGTACACCCACTTCAATATTAGCAAAGTGGTTCTCAAAGTGCTTCCCTAAACATTTTTTTTTTCGTTCAACCTTTATTTAGAGAGGTTAATCCCATTGAGCCTCGAGGACTCGTTTACAAGAGAGACCTGATTTCAACAAAGAGTGATGACATCAGTAAATAACAACAACAACAATAGACAGTCATAAAAGAGGCATACAAAATTTAAGCTTCTCTTTTTTTTTTTTTTAACAAATCAAAACAAACTAACAACCAAAAGGACAATCAAGAGGAATAGTAGCAAAAACAGCTAGATTATAAGGCTATAATCTAGGCTGTCCTCCCCTCTCCTCGGGGTTTTGCAACCCATCAGAAACACCTGTTGACATGAGATGAAAGCTGTGACAAAAGACTTTGTGTGAAATGAGCTCCTGTGTGAAATACTGACCTCATTATGTTTAAACCTGTAGCAATGGAAGGAACATGCAAGTTTTTGTGTGTGTGTGCACATGCATGCAACTCAAATGTTTCTTTAGATCTCTGTTTGCCTTCTCCCAATTCTGTTTTTCCACACTTCTTCAGCAAACCATCTCTGCGAGGGGGGGCAGTGTTGAGCTCCAACCCCCTGCCCAATTCCAGGTAACTTGACCTGGCTCCTTGTTCTCCTCTTCCTCCTTTGTCTTCATCCTTTCCTGCCTCATCTGTTTTATTCTGAACAAGTTCATGTAATGTTGTGCAAGTTCTCAGTAACGTTGATGTCGTTGTTAATTTACGTGTCAGTGTTTTAGTGTTGAACTGCATCATTTTGAAAAAAGCTTCTGGTCTCTTTTTAAGACTCACGTTCTCGACATATGAGCCTACTCTGGAAGGGACGGCAGACGACCTGACGGTAGTTGACGCAACAACACTCAGACGCCAGGTTAGTTCTCAACAAATGCTTTATCATATTATTAATATTATTAGGGATGCACAATATTATCGACATGGTATTGGTATCGACCGATATTGGCGATAAAGTTAAATATCGGCCATTCCATCAAAATAACTCACCGATATAAAAGGTGCTGTTTATAT